CGCTCGCGCTTGGACAGGTCGGCGTCCATGTCATCGCGGGCGAGATGCTGGGTCTGAACGACGCTTGACCATGAGCTGGCTGCTCCCAAGAGCTGCCCGGGAGGCGCGGGGGCGGACATCGCCGCCGCATTGCTTACCGCCGCCGCCGCATATCTTGTCGCCGCCATCGAACCGTAGGAGGACTGCCCCGAGGGCACCGCGGAGGGCATCACTGCCGCCGCCGTCGCTTGGAACTAGGGCGCGGCGGGGGGCATCACCGCCGTCGCTCCCGTCGCCGCCACCGCCGCCGCCGCCCGCCCCACGGTCGACCTCGACGCTGCCGTTCCCGCCGCGGCCGCCCCGCTCGCCCCGCCCACCCTAGGCATGCTCGGCGAGGACATTATGGACGGGCGGACGGTAGGGCCGGCCGTGGTGGCGGGGCTGGGGTGGGCCTGGAACCCGACGAACGCCGACTTCCTCTCGTGCAGGGGGCGACGAACTGGCGGCGGAGCAATCGGAGGGGTGGTGCTTGCCGGGACCGACATCTTGTTGGGGCCAACGACCTGGGGTTAACGGAAGGGCCGATTGGGACGGTTTTGCAGTTGATGATGAAAAGCGTATGGTGTATACTCCTGGTGAGGGCTCTTAGGCACGAAGAAAGGTCGCATGTCCGTATAGCAGCAACTGTAGCTGTTCTTCTCCGCGCAGACGCGCTCTCCACAGATTTTATGGCATCACCTTAGGTACTGACAACAGCAACTTCAGCAACTGGGCGGAAGAGAGGCAGGCATGGGAACCGAGAGGTTCATCTTGTCTACGAATTATTGTTTGATGAACAGCACGTGGCAGCAGACTTTATACATTATCTGGTTTCCGCCCCAAGGACACCATACAGGGCTGCTACTGCTGTTGATATGTAGACTACAAAGACAGATGACGCCAATCTCCGGAAAAAAGCTTCTGGATTGATCCAGTGCTTGCAACGAAACGTGCAGCTATATGTAGGAGGGGCGGTGACACATGTCAGCCTGTAGGAAGCGCTTCTCAGCTTGAGTCCTTCCTGGAGTTAAGAAAAGATACACACCACTCCACAGTATTGATCTAAAGATGCCAAGGAGAGTAGACCAGACTGTGGTTGTATCGACACAACACCGTCGTTAAAACCGTGCTGGCGGGCATTCCAGCACTGGCGCCCCGTCTCTTCTTCTGGCCATCGACCCTGTCAGCGCGGGGTGAGCACCTAACGAAACAGCATTGGTCAGCACATCAACAAATTGAGACACAAACACATACTAGACGGGGAACGTTCAAGTATTACAAGGGATCGTTTCTGCATTTTTGTTTCACCTGACACACGCAACGATGCGGCAGCGGGGACATGAGGAGGTGATGGGTTTATGCGAATGCCCAAGGGTTAGAGAAAGGTGCGGTATCGCTGCTTTGTCGGATGGACCTGTGCATTGACCTCCAGATGACGATGTTGGAGCTGAAAGAGACGCGGACAAAACCTTTTTGCGCCTGTGTTTGCCGGCGGTTGTGTCTACACCTCTCCTAAGCACATTTGGCTTCACGTTATTGGTTGCTACACATGGGGACGAACGTCTACTTAAACCACCAAGCACGTTTATGGCGACGGCGTCGAGACGGAGAGTGAAGCTACGTCGAAGGCCTTTGACATGGCCTACCAAACTGTAGCTACAGGTGAATTTCGCCGACCGGTTCTTCACACGAAAAGGGACATTCTGTTGCCCCCTCACGGACGGTTGTTTTATGCTGGAGTAGCAGCGCCATAGCTGCAGCAGGGTACGTGCGAGCATAGTGCCATAGAATCGGGGAAGTTCGCCCTTCGGTCACATGTAGTTTGTTTGTGCGTAGAATATTCTACCACGTAATATCTTGCACCACTCGCACGAGTCTATGTAGATCACTTGATGATTTTTCATGTGTAGTGTAGACACCATTTCCATGTGCACCTATAATCCCTCGCTCCGCGAATCTGTGATGGTGTCGACCCCCCGAACAAGCTCGAATGAACTAGCTGTAGTCTATATCTCATCCAAACGCCCTCTTCCCACCAGGGCGCCTCCGAGGACTCACGCCACAGCGTACGAGAACCCGCGCGTGATGAACCGATCAACGCGGCCTCTCTGCTCACATCATTCGACTAGTACCGTCGTGTTGTTGCAGAGACAATGCGTGACGTCGGGGCTCTCTGCTGGCTGGCAGTAGTTCAACGGACGACCGCTTTCGTCTTCGCCACACCTTCTCTCTCTTCTCTCAACTCCACGTACTCCTTGCCGCCTGTGGGTCTTGCTAAGAGTCTGGGGAGTGCGCTGAGTGTGTGCGTCGCTAGTGTCCGCCGCGGCTTGCTTCAAAATCCAGCAACGAACGGTTGCAGATTATCCGGCCGCCCCCCTGTGCGCCATTCTGGTTCTACAATGGAACCTTGAAAAAAAAAGTACGGAAAACGGAGGTCATGTACAGAGTTTTGGATTACTGTCCTGTGATTCGTTGAGTTCTTGCAAAATCATTGCCAACTTTGTCTCCGTGACACAATATGATCGACACTGCTATCGTTGAGTTGTTCAAGAGCCTGTCTACAGAGAAGCCGGGGCAACTCGTCAATGAACAAAGCGAGAAAATAACCAACCTCTTAACCGTTTCACCGATCGACCATCTCACTTCTTTTTTTTTTTTCTTAAAATCACACAACAAATACATCTCTATCTATAGAAATAAGTCTAAGGTAGACTAGCAAAGAATCCATTGCGTGAGCGAAAGGCTACCTGTATGTCTACGTTTTTTTTCAAGGTTCCATTGTGTTTCGTGACCACGGGCCGAGAGTCTTTGCTAGATTTTGGCATTTAGCAACTGGCATACGGTTTAATGTGAAGTCAACAACAACAACAATTGTAGAACCAGAATGGCACACAGGGGGGCGGCGGGATAATCTGTAACCGTTCGTTGCTGGATTTTGAAGCAGGCCGCAGCGGACACTATTATAGCGGACACAAATACTCAGCGCACTCCCCAGACTCTTAGCAAGACCCACAGGCGGCAAGGAGTACGTGGATTTGAGAGCAGAGAGCGAAGGTTTGACGAAGACGAAAGCGGTCGTCCGTTGAACTACTGCCACCCAGCAGGGAGCTCCGGCGTCACGTTTGTCTCCGCCACAACTCAACGATATCAGTCGAATGATGTGAGTGGAGATGGCGCGTTGATCGGTTCATCACGCGTGGGTTCTCGTACGCCGTGGCGTGAGTCCTCGGAGGCGCCCTGATGACGAGAGAGCGCTTGAATGAGATAGGCAGCCAGTTCATTCGAGCTTGTTTGGGGGGTCGACACTATCGCAGATTTACGGAGCAAGGGATACTGTAGTCTATTACACGAAAAACTCAAGTGATTACACTCGTGCGGGTTGTGCAACATACTACGTTGCAGAATATTCTACGCACATGCAAACTACATGTGACCGAAGGACGAACTACCCCGATTCTATGGCACTATGCTCGCACGTATCCTGCTGCAGCTCTTGCGTTGCTACAAAAGTATGTACCTACCGCGCTTTTCTCGAAACGGCCGTCCTTTGGGCGACAAAAGAACGTCCCTTTTCGTATGAAGAACCGGTCGGTGAAATTCACCTATAGCTACAGCAGTCTGGTCGTGGCCATGCCAATGGTCTACGACGTGGCTTCACTCTCCGTCTCGGCGCCGTCGCCATAAACGCGCTTGATGGTTGAGTTAGACGCTCATTCCCGTGTGTATCAATAACGTGAAGACCAATTTGCCTAGGAGAGGCTGGTAGCCGCTAGCAGGCGAAAAAGTCTTTGTCCGCGTCTTTTTCAACTCAAATGTCGTCATTTGGAGGTCAACGCAAAGATACATCCGACAAAGCAGCGATACCGCACCTTTCTCTAACCCTTGGGCGTTCGAGTATAAACCCATCACCTCCTCATGTCCCCGCTGCCGCAGTGTCAGACTAATCGAAAATGCAGAAACGATCCGTTGCCCTTGTCCTTCAACGTTCCCCGTCTAATATGTTTTTGTGTCTCAATTCGTTGTTGTGCTGACCAACGCTGTTTCGTTAGGTGCTCACCTCGCGCGGACAGGGTCGGTGGCCAGAAGAAGAGACGGGGCGCCGGTGCCGGAACGCCCGCCAGCACAGTACGAACGACGGAATTGTTCGATACAACCACAGTCTGATCTACTCTCCTTGGCATCTTTTGATCAATATTGTGGAGTGGTGTGTATCTTTTCCTACCTCCAGAAAGGACTCAAGCTGAGAAGCGCTTCCTACAGGCTGCCGTGTCTCATTGAGATGTGCCACCCTCCCTCCCTCCTATAGCTGCACGATTCGTTGCAAGCACTGGATCAATCCAGAAGCTTCTTTTCGGAAATTGGCGTCATCTGTCTGCGTGACTAGTCTACGTTTACAACCCAACAGCAGTAGTAGCCCTTTGTGGTGTCCTTAGGGCGGGAACCAGATGATGTATAAAGTCTGCTGCCACGAGCTGTTCATCAAACAATAATTCGTAGACAAGATCCACCTCTCGGTTCCCATGCTCGCCTCTCTTCCACCCAATTGCTGAAGTTGCTGTTGTCAGTACCTAAAGCGATGCAACATAATCTGTGGAAAGCGCGTCTGCGCGGAGAAAGAACAGCTACCGTTGCTGCTATACGACATGCGACCCCTCTTCACGCCCAAGATGTCGGTCCCGGCAAGCACCACCCCTCCGATTGCTCCGCCGCCAGTTCGTCGCCCCCTGCACGAGAGGAAGTCGGCGTTCGTCGGGTTCCAGGCCCACCCCAGCCCCGCCACCACGGCCGGCCCTACCGTCCGCCCGTCCATAATGTCCTCGCCGAGCATGCCTAGGGTGGGCGGGGCGAGCGGGGCGGCCGCGGCGGGAACGGCAGCGTCGAGGTCGACCGTGGGGCGGGCGGCGGCGGCGGTGGCGGCGACGGGAGCGACGGCGGTGATGCCCCCCGCCGCGCCCTAGTTCCAAGCGACGGCGGCGGCAGTGATGCCCTCCGCGGTGCCCTCGGGGCAGTCCTCCTACGGTTCGATGGCGGCGACAAGATATGCGGCGGCGGCGGTAAGCAATGCGGCGGCGATGTCCGCCCCCGCGCCTCCCGGGCAGCTCTTGGGAGCAGCCAGCTCGTGGTCAAGCGTCTTTCAGACCCAGCATCTCGCCCGCGATGACATGGACGTCGACCCGTCCAAGCGCGAGCGCATGTGCAGGGCAACGGCGATGATACCTAGCGCCTTGGCGTCGGTTGTTCAGGCGAAGCTGAGCCTCGCGAGCCGGCCGTTCCTGACCAAGGTCGAAGAAGCGGCCTTGCTCTTGCAATCTGTCATCGGAGACGCGGACCTTGCGAGTGCGCAGGCGGCGATGAAGGAGCTGCGGGCGGCAGAGTGGGCGTCCAACCAGATGGAAGTTGACGACGACGAGGAGTACGAAGGGCCGTGGCCGATGGAGGTGGACGGTTAGGAGGAAAAAGAGAGAAAGATGAGGGCGAAGGCCTCCCCCTCCCCGCGGGACCACTTGTTGCTCCGCAACATGTGAAAATCAGGGGAAATGGTGGCGTTTTTCATGGTGTACGAGAGTGGCGGATTCGTGACCAATATTTGTAGCAGAAGCACTATTGGGCAGGATGGGGCTTCAGAATTGGTTGGTTTGGGCTGTTGAGTATGTTTTGGGTGCGTGAGATGTGCACGTGTGCTTCCTGCGTGGCGCGCTGCTGCGTGACGTGTGCGGCGTTGACGGTGGTGTGGCGTGCACAAAAGAAACGTAGGGGCATGGAAAAGGGGGGGGGGATTGGTGTAGAGAGTTGTTGGAGTGTAGATGCGGGTAGAACACTTACTAGTCGTGTCACAAAGGCCTCTCGCGTGAGATTAGGTTGTCGCGTGGGGGACACATGATGTCTGTGGGGGGAGAGTCGGACGCGAATGGATGCGCGTCACGTTTTATCTATGTGATTTTTATAGTATTTCAAGCGTGTTTGTTCTCGAACAGCAGGCAACCTTCATCGAGCGCTCGCGGTGGGTGTAGGACCAGCGTGTCATCATCACTCCTCTTTGAGTTCTCTCAGCTCGGCACGGGATGCGATGAAAGCGGATGTGTTGTGGTGTGCAGGATTTGGGTGTGGGCGGGCTATGCGAGAATGTGTACTTCGGGTGCACGGGTGCATTGACCGATTTCGAGTTTTGCCAGTCAAGGATTGTTCGTCGTAAAGTATTAGGTTCGTGTGTGTTTCTATGTCTTGTCGTTACCGAGCGTATTTTCTTTTATCATCATCGACTACTAGGTTCGAGTGCCTTGTGTGTTGTGAGTTTCGTGCGGTGTTCGTGATTGCTATTTGTTGCTATTGTAGTTGTTGCCATGATGGAACGAAGTCGGTTGCAGCACGCCGACAGTAGTAGAGCTTGGCTATGCTTCGGAGCTCCTATCGACGGTTGGAGTTCCATCTATAGACTATGTCGTGTGGGCGAAAACTGTGCCTGTTCGCTGGATGTGAGGAATCTCCCAATCGATTACGTTGATGCGTTATCGCCATTTGCTGGAGATACGTTCTCCATTGCAGCGGTAGCCACCTTCTGTGACCGTGTTGGGAGATGGTGCACTGATGGCGCACAGAAATCGTTTCCAGATCAGAGCGTTTGTTGGCCTTGGCCTTCTGTAACTGCGTTTCTCCAGCGTGTAGCCAGAACCACAACCGCCTTGATTTGGGGTAACCCTCCCCCCCCCCGCCCGGTGTTTGCCATCGGGGTTGGGTTTTCGTCGCTTGGCAACGACGTTGTAAAACAAGCCACCGCCCCCCCCCCGCCCTCCATTCTAGACTTAAGTGGGTTGGCGCTGTTGGCAAAGCGCTGTGAAACATGCCACCCCAAGTATAGCCCCCATAGTATGCGCTACCAAAGACGCTTGACGCATGGATGAGTGGAGTGAGGATAGCTTACGGAAACCAACCAGGTTGAGCGATGTAGGAGATTGCCGGACACATAGACGTGATGAGTGATCATGGCTGTATACTGAAACCCCAAGGGTTGAGTGAGGTTTCAGATTGCCAGACACATGGACGGGTTGAGTGGGGATAGCTGCATACTGAAACCCCACGGGTTGAGTGTAGTTGGAGTGCCGGACACATCGACGCGTTGAGTGAGGATAAACACATTCTGAACCTCACAGGTGATTTGTGATGGAGTTTGCCGGACACATAGACGTGTTGAGTGAGGATAGCTGCATACTGAAACCTCAC